TGGGCGCGGACCTACATACCGCTTCTCAAGCCATGCTGTGGCAGCATCCCACATATAAAGTAGAGGAAGATGGGCACGGATGATGGCCTAGGGCCAATCTTCCTCAGTGCAAAAAAAGATGAGGATTGGCATCAGATGTTAGTTCAGGGCTAATCTTTCTCGCCAAAAAAAAAAAAAGTGCACCATATTTTTTCTGTGAATGCCTTGAGGTTGGTTACACATGAGATGTTGCATTTTTTGGTTTGATAATTGAAACCTAGGTTCTATCTCAATGGTGAAAAGGGACTCCCTATACCGTCTCTCTTTTCTTTTTTATTGAGATATAATTGACATAAAACATTGTATTAACTTTAGGTGTACAAATAACGATTTGATATATATAGCAAAATGACTACTGCAATTAGTTTAATTAACATCCATCACCATACATAGTTATAAATTTTTTTTCTTGTGATAAGAACTTTTCAGATTTACTCTCTCAGCAGCTTTCAAATATACAATACAACATTGTTAACTATACTCATCATGCTGTATATTACATCCCAAGAACTTATTTATCTTATAACTGGACGTTTGTGGTTTTTGACCAGCTTTACCCGTTTTGCCCAACCCCCCAAACTTCCACCCCTGGCAACCACCCATCTCTTCTCTGTATCTATAAGTTTAGTTTCTTTCTAGATTATACCCATGAGCGAGATCATACAGTATTCCTCTTTCTCTGTTTGACTTATTTCACTTAGCATAATGTCCTCAGGGTTCATCGGTGTTGTCATAAATGGCAGGATTTCCTTCTTTTTTATTGCTGAATAATATTCCATTGTGTGTGACTGTGTGTATATATGTATATCTCATATCTTCATTATCCATTCATGTGCTTATGGCCACTTGGGTTGTTTCCGTGTCTTGGCTATTGTAAATAATGCTGCAATGAACATGGAGGTATAGATATCTTTTTGAGATAGTGATTTTACATCCTTTGGATAAATACCCGTTAAGTATGACTGCTGGGTTGTATGGCAGTTTTACTTTTAATTTTTGGAAGACCCCCCCATACTGTTTTTCACAGTGGCTATGCCAACTTACACTCCTACCAAGAGTGCACAAGCGTTTCATTTTTTCTACATCCTCTCCAACACGTATTATTTCTTATCTTTTTGATAATAGCTATTCTAACAGGTGTGAGGTGATATCTTATCGTGGTTTTGATTTGCATTTTCCTGATGATTAATGAAGTTGAGCACTTTTTCATGTACCTGTTGACCATTTCTATATTTTCTTTGGAAAAATGTGTATTCAGTTCCTTTGCCCTTTTTAATGGGATTTTTTTTTTCCTGTTGAGCTGTGTGAGTTCTTTATATATTTTGGATATTAACCCCTTATCAGATATATGATTTGCAAATATTTTCTCCTGTTCCATAGATTGTCTTTTCATTTTGTTGATGGTTTCCTTTGCTGTACAGAAGCTTTTTAGTTTGATGTAGTCCCATTTGTTTATTTTTGCCTTTGTTGCCTTTGGTTTTGGTGTCCAATCCAAAAAAGCATCGCCAAGACTAATGTCAAGAAGCGCTTACCCCCTGTGATTTCTTCTAGGAGTTTTATGGTTTCAGCTTCAAGTCTTTAATTCCTTTTGAGTTGATCTTTGTTTATGGTGTAAGATAGTAGTCTAGTTTCATTTTTTTTGCATGTGGCTGTTCAGTTTTCCCCAAAGCATTTATTGAAGAGACTGTCCTTTCCCCACTCTATATATTTGGCTATTTTGGCATCCATTAATTGACCGTATATGTATGGATTTATTTCTGGGCTCTATTCTGTTCCATTTATCTATGTGTCTGTTTTTATGCCAATGCCATATTGTTTTGATTACTATAGCTTCGTGATAAAGTTTGAATCAAGAAACCTGATTCCTCCAGCTTTGTTCTTCTTTCTCAAGATTGCTTTGGCTATTTGGGATCTTTGCAGTTCCATACAAATTTAGAATTGCTTGTTCTATTTCTGTGAAAAATGCCATCAAAATTTTGATAGAGATTGCATGGAATCTATAGATCCCTTTGTGTAGTAGGGACATTTTAACAATATTAATACTTCTTATCCATAAGCATGTAATATCTTTCCATTTATTTGTGTCTTCTTCAATTTCTTTCATTAGTGTCTTATAGTTTTAAGTATACAGATCTTTCACCTCCTTGGTTAAATTCATTCCTAGATATTTTATCCTGTTTGATGCAATTGTAAATGGAATTGTTTTCTTAATTTCTCTTTCTGATAGTTCCTTATTAGTGTATAGAAACAACTGATTTTTAATGTTGATTTTGTATCCAGTAACTTTATTGAATTCACTTATTCTAATAGTCTTTTGGTGGAATCTTTAGGGTTTTCTCTATATAAGATCATATTATCTGCAAATACAGATCGTTACACTTCTTCCTTTCTGATTTGGATGGTTTATAATGTGTTTTTTTTTTTTTTTTTTTTTTGCCTAATTCCTCTGGCTTGGACTTCCAATACTATGTTGAATAAAGTGGCTGGAGTGGGCATCCTTGTCCTGTTCTTGATCTTAGAGGAAGAGCTTTCAGCTTTTCACCATTGAGTATGATGTTAGCTGTGGGCTTGTCATATACAGCCTTTGTTATGTTGAGATACGTTCCCTCTATACTTACTTTGTTTAAAGTTTTTATCATGAATGGATGTTGAATTTTGTCAAATGCTTTTTCTGCATCTATTGAGATGATCATATAAAATTTATCTTTCATTTTGTTTATGTGGCATATCACATTGATTGATTTGCAAATGTTGAACCATCCTTGCATCTCTGGAATAAATCCTACTTGATTATGGTGTATCATCATTTTAATGGATTGTTGAATATATTAAAACCATGAGCTGAGTACCTACAAAAAGTCAGACATGTAGGAGATTCTTTACATACATGACCTCATGGGCTCTTGATGCAATGCTATGGACAGCTATCATTATCCCCATTTCATAGATTCCATTCCAGGGCTGTCTGTCCCCAAAGTCTCTCCCTTTCTGCTACTCTAGTCTGCCTCCCCTCTAGAACTGAGGTGAGACTACCACCATGCAGGGCTACCAGGAGAGTCACCACTTCTGCAAGTAAAGATCACACATCTTCCTATTCTCACTATTAATATCATTCTGATGGCTTTGGTAAAAAGGAAGGAAGACTAGAGTAATGGAAGGAGCGTGCCCCTAGGGGCCCTGGAAGCAAGTCTCAGCTCTGAAATTAACTAGTTGTATGACTTTATGATAATAATGGCTGCCATGGACTGAATTGTGTCCCCTCCCAAATTCATATGTTGATGCTCTAACTCCCAATACAACGGTATTTGGAGATAGGGCCTTTAAGAAATAATTAGGGTTACATGAGGTCATAAGGGCAGATCCCTAATCTGATGGGATTGGTGTCCTTACAAGAGAAGGAGGAGACACCAAAGAGCTCAATTGCCCTCTCTCTGTGCACGAGCAGAAGAAAGGCCATGTGAGGACACAGCAAGAAGGTGGCTATCTACCCGTCAGGAAGAGAGCCCTCACCAGGAACTGAATCTACTAGCACCTTGATGTGGGACTTCCAGCCTCCAGAACTGTGAGAAAATAAATTTATGTTGTTTAAGCCACCCATTCTGTGGTACTTTGTTATGATAGCCCAAACAGACTAATATAGATTTTGGTACCAAAAAGTGGGGTGCTGCTGTAACAAATACCTAAAAATGTGGAAATGGCTTTGGAACTGGGTAATGGGTAGTGGCTGGATTGCTTTGAAGAGACCATTGATAGAAAAATGAACACTGAAGGCAATTATGGTAAAGATTCAGATGGAAATGAGGAATATGATATTGGAAACTGGAAGAAAAGCTATTCTTGTTGTAAGGTGGCAAAGAATTTGGCTGAACTGTGTTTTGTGGACAGTAGAACTTGCGAGTGATGAAATTAGTTGTTTAGCTGAGGAGATTTTTAAAATTTCAGCTTTATTGAGATATAATTGACATAGCTGAGGAGATTTTTAAATGAAGTGTTAGAGGAATGGCTTAGCCTCTCCTTACTGCTTATAGCAAAATGGAGGGGAGGGAGATAAATTGAAAGAATTGTTAAGCAAAAAGGAACCAGAACTTGAAAATTTGGAAAATTTTCAGCCTATCCATATTGGAAAAAGTGAGCAAGTATGCTCTGAAGAGAACACCAAGGATGTGGGTGGAAAATCATTTGATAAAGAAATTATGGATGTGAACCATGGATTTAATCAGCCGTCTCAGCAGAAGCCAGGAATAGAGATGGGATTATATCGCAGACACTGCCAGTTTGGACCAAGGGAGGAGAACAGGACAATAGAGCTATCAGGCTGTGAACATCTTTTATTCTTCAAGAAAAGGGAAGAATGACCTCAAAGGTGACCCAGAGATCATCTTGGTTGCCACTCCCAACATGGGTGCAGAGTGCAAGGATGTTTCCTCCTTAGTCTCATAGGCTTCAGAGAGTATGGTTCCCCTCCTCAGTTTCAGCATGCCAGCCTGCCCCACCCAGCACCTCAGGGACGTGGCCACCACAAAGCTGTGGGGGTGGGGCCTGCTGCCAAGGGCCATGGGGATGAGGCTGCTGCCCCAGTGGGCCTGGTGGGCAGAGCATCCAGCAAAAGAGGATAATTCTCTAGCCTTAAGATCCAATGCAACTTGTTGCTGGATTTTGGACTTGCTTGACATCCATCATCCCCTCCTTCTTCACAGTTCCTCCTTTTGGAATAGGACTGTCTATCCTATGCATGTCCCACCGTTGTATTTTGGAGGCACATAACTTGTCTGGTTTCACAGGTTCAAGACTGGAGAGGAATTTTGCCTCGGGATGAATCATACCTCAAGTTTCCCCCATATCTGATTTAGATAGTATTTAGATGAAACTTTGGACTTGGAATTGATATTGGAATGAGTTAAGACTTTTGGGGCTGTTGGGATGGAATGAATGTATTTTGCATGTGAGAAAGACAAATTTTGGGGGGCCAGAATGTTATGAACTGAATTGTGTTACCCCCCAAATTCATATATTGAAGCCCTAACTCCCAATGTAATTGTATTAGTAGACAGGGTCTTTGGGAGATAGTTAGGGTTAAATGAGGTCATAAGGATGGGGCCCTAATCCAATGGGATTGGTGTCCTTATAAGAGGAGGAAGGGACACCAGAGAGCTCTCTCTGTCCATGCATGCACAGAGGAAAGGCCATGTGAGGACACAGTGAGAAAGCAACCTTCTACAAGCCAAGAAGAGAGCCCTCACCAGAAAACGAATCTTTTGGCACCTTGATTTGGGACTTCCGGCGTCCAGAGCTGTGAGAAAATAAATTTCTGTGGTTTGATCCCCCAGTCTGTGGTACTGCATTATGTCAGCCCAAGTGGACTAACATGATAGCTAACACCGTTATAAGCACTTTATAGACATTAACTATTCTAAACACATACCTATGAGAAAGATACTACATTACCATCATCTACATAATACAAAATGAGAAGCCTGAAGCTTAGAGAGGCCATATTCTTTAGTGGTGAAAAGTAGTTCAGGCACCAAAAAAAAAAAAAAAAATACAGGCACCAACAGAAAGATCAGTAGTTGCCTGATGCCAGGACAATGGGATTGACTGCAAAGGGCACAGGGAAACTTTTGGGGATGGTAGAAATATTCTATATCTTGTTTTATATCATGGTGGTGATTCCATATGTGTATATTACATTTTATTATATGTAATTTATAACGCAATAAAGATGATTGAAAATTTTTAAAGAAAAATAAAAGATTTTTGCTGTTAAAAAGGAAAAAAAGATAACTGGAGTCAGATGACTTGGGTCTGAATCTCAGCTTCATTACAGATTAATTGTGTGATTTTGATCAAATTACTTAATTTCTATGGGTCTCTCAGCTTCCAGTTTCTCATCTGTAAAGTGAGGATAAGAATATTTTCTTAATATATATTTTAAGACTGTCATAAAATTATTTATACTATATTTTATTCATTTACGTGTTCATCCAACAAATATATGATGAACACCTACTGTGTGTCAGGTACCATTCTAGGTAGGAAGGATGGACCCACCATTCTGGACAGAGTAGCAATAAACAAAACACACAGGGTTCCTGTGCCCACGGAGCTGATTTTCTAATGCGGATGGAGGGAGACCACAGACAAGTAACAAGATAATTGCAGATAGAAATGTACGCTATGAATGAGATTAAACAAAGTAATGTAATTAGCTAGGGAATATATTTGAGGGAGTGCAAAGGCCTCCTAAGGGGGTCACTGAACCAAGTTTTAAAGGAGGAGGAGGGGGAGACCATGCAAAGATCTGAAGGACGAGGGCTCCCGGCAGAAGGAAGGATATCTGCCAAGTCCCCGAGGCTGGAATGAGCTTGGGTAGTCAAGGAATACAAAGCCCAGTATGACTGAAGAGTAGTGAGTGAAGTTGAGAATCGGGAGCAAGGAGAATGGTCTGAGATAGGTCTGAGGGGGAGCATAGATCAATGGCTTAATAGGGATTATAAAGGCCACTAGAGGCCCTTGGAAGGTTTACAAAGGGGATTAAGAAGATATGATTTAATGTTACAACAATCACTCTGGCTATGCTGTGGAAAATTAGTTGTAGAGGAGACAATTATAGAAGCCAGGAAGCTTGTAGTAGGCTGTTGCAGCAGTATAGGTACTGGGGGCTTAGACTATAGTGGTGACCTTGGAGAAGGAGACAAGTGGGTGCATTCTGGATATATTTGGTGATAGAGTCAGCAGGCCTTGCTGGTATATTGCATGAAGAGGATGAGAAAAAGAAAAGAATCAAGAATGACTCTGGGTGTTTTTGGCTTGTGCAGCTGGGTAGATGGTGTCATTTGCTGAGGTAAGGGAGTCTAAGGCAGAAAATCAAGAGTTCTGTTTTAGACCCGCTAAATTTGAGATGTGTATCAGACAACCATATGGAGATGTCATGTATGCAACTGGAAATGAGAGTCTGGAGCTCGGGGGTAAGGTTGAGGCTAAAGATGTAAGGAAATGTCCATAGCTATGTAAAGTGTATTTTTATCACCTCTCCTTGCAATTTCAGGAGCCACCATTTCTCCTGTCTTCCTCTACGGTATAGTTCAGTCTCCCTAGATGTCAGAAGCGTGGGGGCTGGAAGGGGAGGCAAACACAGAGGTGGTTCTCAATAGACACTGATAAGCGATCACCACATTCCAATGAATACTTCCCTTTCCTAAGGGATCATATATATTTGCAGACTCTTTCTAACTCCTCATTTTTCAGATCTCATGTTAAAGTTCACCTTCTCAGAAAGAACTTCTCTATCCATCCTATCCAAAATAAGTCTCTTCTCTTGGTTTGCACCCCTACTGCAGCGTTTCCTCATCCAGCACACTGTTAATTTCATTCATATCGTTCATTTATAATTATAAGTTTATGTTTTTTGCTTCTCTCCTCCATTGGAGAAAGAATTAGACTCCCTGATGGAAGGGAACCTGCCAGTTTTGGTCATCACTGTCAGCCAGAATTAGCACAGTGCCTGGCATATAAATATTTGTTGAAGAAGCAAATGAGCTGCCCCTGTCTGAGATATCATGCATGGATTAATTGGTGCTCTAAGTATGGGCTAGAGTAGCCTTATTTCAAATCACCAAGCCCTTAGCCCAAGACAAGGAATGGATTTTGTTTGTTGTGGTAAGAACTTTTAACATGAAATTTACCTTCTTAACAAAATAGTCGAACTCATAGAAGCAGAGAGTAGAATGGTGATTTCCAGGGGCTGGGGTGAGGGGGAAATGAGGAGTTGTTATTCAATGGGTATAAGCTTTCAGTTATGCAAGACAAATAAGGTCTAAGGGACTGGCTTTTAAAGAGGGCTCGGGGAATAATTATCAGAGAATGGAGAGGCAAACAACACGGCGGATTTCCAAGACCCGTGGGTGCTGGCTGCCATTTGCATCAATCACTGAGCACCATGGCATATGCACCCTTGTTAGTAGGATGATGGCCCAGAGATGGATGGATCCACTCCAACTCCCTGCTAAGTTCCTGAAATGAAAGATTTTTGCAAGCATTTTGAGTTCTCGGGAGATGTCACGGCCAGCAAGCTGAAGAACCGTGTGGCTATTTGCCAACTGCCTGGTTTAAAGTCTAGTCCCTTCCATGGAAAATGAAACTGAGAAAGTATTTCAAGATTTCTAATCAGGATCTGTCCCCTGCAGGGGAGAAGGCTATTTTTATGTTCCATCGCAATGCACTGGAGAGTTCTGGGAATGTAGCATGTATCCAACTTCTGTGAGAGAGACTGGAATGAGAAACTCAGTACCAGCTCTCCTCCTAAGGAGGAAGCCGAAAATATCACAGAGGTCTCTGTTTCTCAGCGTCTATCCTCTAGCTCTATCGAGAGACAGAAAGAAGGGATACACTGTGTCCAGCTAAGAAAGTAGACAATGAAGTGGCAGAAAAATTATAACGGGAAGTTTAAATGGTGAATATTTTTGTTAATCTGAATGTAGGGCCTCCTACTATTCTGAAGAGTATTAATTTATGCAGGTAAATTAGCCAATAGGGAGACATGAAGGCAAAGGGAAAACCTGGCAAAATTTCCATCGTTCCAGAGGAGGTCAGAGTTCATGGGTTGAAGGAAACCATGATGTATGCAGGGAGATGTTAGAACTTGTTTTTCTTTTGAAATATTGTTTATGCCTCTCTTTAGTCTGATGAAAAAGCTATCTCTTCCTCACTAAACAGTTCGTGTAATAAAGTGCTGGAAACATCTGAATGTATCAATCACAGTATTTTGGAAGGAAAAAGTGGAAAAGGGAGGGGTTCAATCTTTGCAGCCTGAATTTCCAGGAAAGAGGAGCTGGTGACCCCCCAGCCAAAACCTTACTGATATTTGGTGATTCGAGAGCCAGAAAATGGGAAGTACTTGACGGAAACAACCTGTTGGCTTGTTGGCACTTGGTGTCTTACACCAAAATGGTAAAAATGAGTTGAGAGTAGAGTCTTTTCCTACAAATGCTGTGTAGTAATTTTTTGAGTGCTCTGATTTGTGGGTTATAATATTCCTTTTTACTTCCACCACACTGTGAAAAATAAAGGATGATAATCCAATTCTTTAAAGTCCCAGTGCAAAACTAAAATGAAAAAGTGACCAATAGCATAGGTTGAAAACATGTGTAACCATGACCAACATATAATTTTTTAAAGCAGAAATAGATTTTATGTGATGGGAGTTAGGAGTGTTGGAGAATCCTCTCTTTCTTTTCTACTCTTCCTGTGCTGAAAGCCAGTTGTAGCTTCCCCACCCCTGATGCCTCCTGCCCTCCATCAGTGACCCTGCTGCATGCCACTGGTGGGCCATCCATCATGGTGTGCAGATGGAGGAGGGCTGCTGGAGACCCTGCCTCATACTGCCTACTGGGGCGACTGATAGATGGGATGAAAATTCTGTAGTGATGGCAGGACAAATACTCTACTCATCATCACTGATGCTCATGATCAAAACAAGGAAAGAATTATGGAAATTAAAAAAAAAAATCATATCTCTCCAACTGATGTGTTGCTTTCCTCTCTGAAGTCCCTGTGCTGTGTAGTTCTTGGCAAGCAGGCAAACTGGGTGGATCTGAAAGGGCTGTCTCTGGGACTTTGACAGGGGTTACCTGGAGGAGAGCCGTGGTAGGGCGAGGCTGCTCCCTCCCTCTAGTTGATGCTTAGAAAAACTTTCCACTTGGCCTTGGATTGGGTAACCCAGAGATTTGTAACAACCTCTGCCTTCCAAACTAAACACTTGGGGCTGAGTTATTAACTCCAAGTAAAAAACTGCCTTGGGGAGTCCAAAGCAAAATCAAACCTAATAAAGATAGCCATTTGTAAACACTGCCTGCAAACAACAGGGTGTGTGTGTGTGGGGGGCGGGGGGTGTAGGTAGAGCTGCTCTTTAGAAGAGATTTGTGTACTTAAGCAAGTATGAAAAATCAATCCTCTTGACCTATTTTCAGGGGCC